TGCGAAACCGTTTTATTTGCCGACAAGTTCCCCTATTTAATACAAATAATTAAATAGGGTTTATTTTAAGCTGGGTTCGGAAAAGCTTCCTATAAGGGCAAGCCCCTATAATTAATTACATCTTAAATGACCTAGGTCACCTAAGAAAACTCTCGATAAAAATCAGGGAGTAATGTCTTCAAAGAAGCCAAAAGGATAGGACTTTTCGACGAAATCGGACGAAGAGGTGTGAAAGGGGAAAACTCAAATCTGGAACTTTGTTGAGGAATCCAAATGAAGAGAAACTAGGGGAGACCACAGATCCTGAGGAAAATCTCAGTGACTTCCCAGTCTATCATATGGTTTGGCTCCAATTGTAAGAAGAAATTATTAAAGTGTTTCTTCCTGCCAATTTTATTTAATTAGGGCTTATATTTGCGTGACAAGACCACACAAATTGCCTAGAAAATATGAGGATTTACATCGTATCGGACGACAACCTCGGAACCTAGAACGAGTTAGGGCTTAAATCGTACAGCAGAGCTATACGAATGCCTAAAGAAAATGTGGAGGATTTGCGTTGCGCTAGGCAAACAACCTCGAAATCCTATGAATTGTTGTTTAATTTCTAGAAAAACGAATGGTTTTGTTGGGGAAGACATGTTCTGCTGTTGAAGATGACTCTATGATTGTAGTCCTCTAAACATCCTATGCAAAAAGGAAACATGTTTGAAATTATAAAAAAGTAAAGTGTGCGATGCAGGAACAAATAATAGAATGCACGTGGAATAGTAGCAGGCAAAAACAGGAGCAGCACACCACATGAAGAACAGTAACAGAACAAGTGTAACATGCTTTACAGTACTGTAGCAGGTAGAAAACATGACAAGTGTAACATGTTTTACAGGAAGAGCAGTAGCAGGTAGAAGACAGGAAAATTAAATGCTGTAAAATGTAAAGCAAATCTGCACGCCCGTGAAATCCGCCATTCCTTAAGTATAACAAACCTAAATGCATCTCAAAAAGCAAGTCCGAAAGAAACGTCGTCCAGGAAACCCGAGGAAAAGCGGAGAAACTCGAGAAAAATCAACGAAAAAGACTTAAGCAAAAGAAAATCCTCAAAACTCCTGGGGCAATCCCGAAAGAAAGAAAAAGTAACACGAGTGCCCCGTCCCAAAACTTTGACAAAACAAAAAGAAGATTCAGATGAGGGGGGACCGCAGGCACTAGTATGGGACTAGGCTCAGCTATATTTATTCTCGAAAACTCCTGGGGCAATCCCGAAAGAAAGGAAAAGTAACACGAGTGCCCCGTCCCAAAACTTTGACAAAACAAAAAGAAGATTCAGATGAGGGGGGACCGCAGGCACTAGTATGGGACTAGGCTCAGCTATATTTATTCTCGAGGGTTCACGAAGGCTACTCGGTCACCCGAATATATAGAACCCGTCACTCATCTAGAAGTGTGGCTTGAACCTCACTTAGGGGGTTATTTCCCAGCCTAAACAGG